AATTTATCTGCATAAGGTTTGCTGTTTGTTCCCCAAAGGTAGTGGAGAAAGCAATTTTCGATGTAAACATATATATATGCATAACATATAGTGAGTGTTTTAAGTGAGTCTAAACTTTTGATGGGAAGTATTATTATCATTAATATGATGTCTAAATTTATTTGTTTTAATAATTTAATTCAAAACGTATAAACGTGCAGACTATAAAGATTAAATGTCCGTAATACACAAGTGGTGATGGGTATCACACTCCCATTCTGGCTGGGGAAAAGGTGAGGTGAGGTGAAATTGGGTTTAACGTCGTGTTGCTTGTACTAGCCCAGACTTAAGCTGGTTGTATAGTGCAAGCCCACTGAGATACCATGCCGCAGTGAAGCATGAATACCCCACTCAGACACATTATACTTATGCTTGAGAATACTTCGCTAATATGACGACGTGCATGCGTGTGTATGTGTATGTGCAGCTGCTTGTACTAGCCCAGACTTAAGCTGGTTGTATAGTGCTAGCCCACTGAGATACCATGCCGCAGTGAAGCAGTACACAAAGTACGTTGTCTATGGTAAGACAAAATGAAAATATCAAAGGTATAGTAATTGATGATACAGAGTATAAATTAGGACAATATGCAGGTGATACTGAGTTGTTTTTAGATGGTACAGAAAAATGTCTATATTCTGCTGTTGATGCAATTAATACTTTCTATACGATGTCAGGACTAAAAATAAATATTGATAAGACTAAGCTATCTGGATTGGATCTACAGCAGGTTGTGGTGATAAACTATGTCAGGATTTGAATATTGAATGGCGAAAAAATGAATTTGTTGTTCTGGGAATTATACTTAATGCTGAACTGAAGGATCTATGGATCATCAATACAAAGAAAAAACTAGAGGAAATTAACAGATTATTGGCAGTGTGGAGAAAAAGACATTTAACATTAATCGGCAAAATCACTGTTATCAAGACACTAGCTATGTCAAAATTAGTTCATATTTTCAATACTTTACCAAACCCACCCCAAGATTTTGTTACCTCCCTTGATAAAATATTTTTCAAATTCATCTGGACTGACAAAACTGACAAAAATAAGAGAAGTACCTGGAAAAAAGATTATATACATGGGGGTTTAAGAATGATCGACATAAAAACCTTTATCATTGCCTTGAAACTATCCACTTTGAGACTTTATTTAAGAAAATCATCAATATGTAATCCATGCAATTGTCCATAACATGATATCATGAAATTTGGTGCTAATTTCTATAATATTGCTGATATTCATAATCCATATTGGAAAGATTTTTTAAAAGCTTGGAACATGTATTGTACTAACATTACCATAGAGGAAAACAACACTGATGAAATTTTAGCACAGCCATTATGGTTTAATCATAATTTTAAATACCAAAATCATTATATCAGTCATTGGGCAAATAAAGGACTATTAACCATCAAAGACATGTGTGATGAAGAAGGTTTGATGTCTTTTGAATCTTTAAAAGTTAATATGCAATAAAAGGGACAGAATTAGATCATAGATATGTTCTAAATAATATACCTGAATCATGGAAAAATACAATAACAAATCACAGGTGTATAAATAACTATGACATGAATCTTAACTCCTATCAAAAGAATTTTATGAAATCATTACAAGGATCAAGATTATTTTATGATATATTGTTATTTAACAATAATAACCCTCATATGTGTCATAAATGGGAGAATGTGTTTGAAGATACTGACTTTGATTGGCCAATGATTTTCAAGTCTTACAGACAAGACATTAATGATGTAAAACTCTTAGAGTTCCAATATAAATTTTTACACAGTATTATCTATACCAAAAAGGAACTTTTAAAAATGAACCTTATCTAGAGCGCCTCATGCAGCTTTTGTAAAGATGAAGATGAAAATTTGTGCCATGTTTACTGGGAATGTTGTGAAACTAAGAAGTTTTGGAAGGATCTTCAAATTTGGATTAACACTTATTTGATACAAAAAGTCAATTTGACAAAATATTTGGTGTATTTTGGCTCCTTAAGTAAAAACCCATTACTTAATCATATAATCATTTCAGCAAAAAGACAGATCTATGTCTCTTCTTTCAAAAACAACATTCCAAAATGCGATAACTTTATACAGACTTTAAAAGATAGTTTTTCTGTTGAAAGCCTCATTGCTAAAAGGAAAAAATAAAATGAAGAAATTTGCTAATAAATGGCATCCATTATTCCCAGTATTTCAAACCTGACCTGTGTATGCAGCAACCGCTTCTTTTGTAAAATCCTGATCTGTTTCCCCTTTTGAAAAATTATCATTGTTTTAGTTATATATTGACTAGTTAGTTAATGGCACTGGTGTAACTATGGGGAACACATATTATAGGTTGGATATAAGACACAATATACAACACAATAAGCCGGATGTTGGGCAATATATAACACAACACATTTGATGTGACACAAGACACAGCATGACATGTCAGAATAATTGTGGCACTATATACAACACATGTTAGATAAGACATAATTACAATGTATATCAGATAATACACTGTGTACAACACGATAGATTGGCCGTGACACTATATACAATATGCTATGTCGGGTGTTGCACTATATACAGTATGATATGTCAGATGTGGCGCTATATACAACGTGGTATGTCAGATGTGGCGCTATATACAACGTGGTATGTCAGATGTGGCGCTATATACAACGTGGTATGTCAGATGTGGCAACAAACAAAATATGTTGAATATGTATGCAATATACAACATGATATGTTGGATGTTACACTATATACAGCTTGATATGTCAGATGTGGTGCTATAAACAATATGATATGTTCATATATGATGCTATTTACAACTTGACATGTGGGATGTAAAACTATATACTTATGATATATCAGATATGACATTATATACAACTTATGATGGAAGACTTTACTTTTTCATGAAAATAAAAAAAAATTGATTGAAAAAAAAAAGAAAAAAAAGTACGTTGTCTAGACTACCAGACTGAGTGGTTTAGATTGCTGAGTTTGTGTGCCGGCGTGACTTACTATACTAGCCACATAAAGAAACTGTGCACACAGATAATGCCTTCAGAATTGGAATACAACACAGCAAAGACGAAATGATGTTGACACTTTATAAGCTGAAGTATCGGACAACAAAAAATTGTCAAAAGAACATGAACAATATCCGTAACGATGACGTCAGAAGTTCAAAATCGAGTCACATGACGAAGTCACAAAATCAATAACGGATATGACCACCATGTGCGTGAAGCACAGCAGTGCATCGACGACGCATAGAGGCTACCAAATGAGCATTGAAGGACTGGGGAATGGTTTGGGACGTGGTCACTGCTGTCTGGAACCTGTGTCTGAGATGAGTCACCCGAATCCACCTGTCCTGTCTTGGCGTCGTTACGTCTGGAACGCCCAGAACGTGGGTGGTCGGCGATGTCATTACTGTTTCAATAACGCCTGACCAATGCAGATATCGTGTTACGATGGCATTGGAAATGTGCTGCCACCTGTTGTTGGCTCATTCCTGCTCGAACCATTCCAATGGCTTCATGACGTTAAGCAGATGTTAATCTTGGCATGATGTGCATCTGACTTCTCATGTGGATTTGTGAACGTTTAAATGACCAAAGATTAAGCTTTCGACAGTGACAGCAATTTCAGAGTTTCAAATGTTGTGTGCAGCTGTACGGGTTGCACGTGAAGAGTCCCTTTATCAAATTTTAACTTTTACTGTGGCGAAGATGAACTGTGCTATGCTGGATCCTACAAGTATTCTCGGAATGTGGTTCGAGGTACATTTAGATATGAAACACAGTATTTTGGAAATATCTAAAAGTGCTAATAGAGCTGTCTCATCTGTGCTCATATCCAAATACCAACAATGCTTACGACCAATTATACACCAAATTATACGAATCAACGGCCAAACCTATTCTCATGTATGGAGCACCTATTTGGGGACTTTCATCACAACGCTTTATTTAAATACAAAACAGATCATGTCGTTTTTTCCTGGGAGTTCAGCGGAATACTTCAAATATTGCCGTGCAATGCGAAATGGGGTGGAAATCATGCTTAACAAAGCAAAGGATATCTGCAGTACGTGCTTATGTTAGACTTAGTAGAGCTGGGGACTCAAGACTACCAAAGCAACTATTTGATTGGTCTAAACGTCGAAATAAGTCATTTGCTTGTTCAGTTGAAAAGATGTGTACACGAACTAATATGTCTAATTTACTATATGCTTCAGGATCAGTTAGTGACGTGATGTATGCTATAAAGATGTGGCTCCCTACCTCTACATATTGAAACTGGACGTTTTTGTAAACCCCCTACTCCTACCCACCTGAGAACCTGTCCGTTTTGTGGAAAGATCGAAAATGAAATACATTTCTTTTGTGAATGTGACTTTTACTATGATCTTACATATGACTTATTTACCCTCTATCTCAGTTTGTATAGTGTACCCATGAATGATGTATATAATTTATTCATTAATGTAATGAGTCTTCAGAACTTTGAATTTATTAAATTGTTAGCTAATACTATATCCCAAATGTTTCATAGGCAAAGCTTACACACAGTTAGGTAATTTATAACCATTTTTTACAATATTTTTATGTTTTAATGTATGTGTATATATGTGTAATATATGTGTGTATGTATGTATATATGTGTGTATGTATGCATATGCATATAAAACACACACACACACACACACATATGTATATTTTATATTTCATAACAGCAATAATTATCTATTTTGAAAATGTACTTTTACGATAAATTTAGATTTATAGTTCAGTGTCTCGTAAGATGTCAGTTTCTCTTTATCCATGAATGTTTTTCATATATGTATATTTCTTATGCAACTGACTTGTGGCACTTAAATAAAATATTTCTGTCTGTCTGTCTGTCTGTCTGTCTGTCTATAATATATGTCACTTTTACTGTTTCAGTTTGTCCATATTCTTAGACATGGAGACATATTGGATTTGGTAAGTACTGTGTTCACTTAATGATATCACGTACTCAGAAAAAATAACTGCTATTGTTGACTGTCTTCAAAGTATTTACTTCAATTGATGTTGAAGCTGGAAGTACATGAATATTATAGAAATATATAAATATGGTGGTCCTTTTTTTCTTTCCTCGTTTATATGTATGTGAATGAACTCGTGGACATTGCCGTATTGAAAAGTATTTCAGTTACATAACTACATACTGAAAATTTCAAGTCAAAACATTGATTATAATCCGTTTGTCTTCATTGCTCACTGACACAAAATCTAATAAATGCAACAAAATCAAACTTTCACAGTCACGTGAAATCGACAAACCAACTCTGATGATCTGTCTCATAATTTTGGACACCCGAATAAAACAGTTGTTTAACAAACGATCATTATTTTGTTGTCACTTTTCGCTATTTCTTACGAGGGAGAACCACTTGCTGGTAGAACAGCCAGGTGTGCGAGTTGTACGTATGAAATTTCACTGCACAAGCTTGTTGATTACTTGTCTATTTCAACACTACGCTCCTTCTAATCCTTGCAAACACGTCGTGCAGCGTGCTCTGTCGTACAGCGTGCTCTGACAAACGTAAAGTCGTGGAAATCTCAAAACGAGTCTCGGCCGCTAGAAACGTTTGGCGGTCTGGTACGGACTTGATATTATATCAATCACATTGTACGTTAAAAAAACACACCGAATAAGCGCAAAGAACACTTAACAGGTGTAACCAGTACGCCAGATGAATTGTGAATCATTTTACGACCTCATCAAACAGAGGCAGTCTGTGACGTCTTAGTTACGGTCATGCTGCCTAAACCTCATCACAAAATATTGAAATAGGATTTTATTAAAGTTTAAAATTAAAAAAAATCATTTGTAAATACCATTTCCTCATTAAACAAGAAATTCGAATTTAGTGTAACCATAGTTGTTTGTATAGTGTCTCTTATCATTTCACACGAGAATTTCGGAGGGGCGGTGGGGTAGCCTAGTGGTTAAAGCGTTGGCTCGTCACGCCGAAGGCCCGGGTTCCAATCCCCACATGGGTACAATGTGTGAAGCCCATTTCTGGTGTTCCTCGCCGTGATGTTGATGGAATGTTGCTAAAAGCGGCGTAAAACCAAACTCTGTCAGTCGGATCGGCTGAAGAGTAGGTCATTGTCTGAATTGGTTAATGAGACTCATGTTTCGGTTTGATTTTTACACAATATTCCAAACTTTATCAAAACCTCAGAAGGCTGAAAACTAAGGGCCCCTAACATAACTATGATTCCAGAATCAAAGATATCACCTTCGAATAACCATCATCATCATCATCGTCGTCGTCTTCGTTCTTGTTGTTGGTGACCGTTTCTTACGACTGTTCCAATATAATTGTAATGATCATAGTGGTGAAAGTCATCTTCTGGACAATTGTTAAGGTTGGCACCGGCATGAAAGTGCATAATGGCACAGGTACATGTGACGAATGCGAGTAAAAAATATCGTCAATATTGAACCCAAGTTCAAACGAGCCGTAGGTGATTGAACATCAAGGGCTGAGCTCCTTATGACGTCACCTAACAACGGGCCCGTCGTCAATTAATTTGGGGACATTATCAAGTTACAGTGGCCCGCTCATTTCTGGTAACATGCGGGCGTTTTAATGGTAATTCTATCCAATTTAGCTATATTATTATGTTTTACAGATTAAGATGAAAATGCAGCAGAGAGGGTTCGGGTGATCCCGGCACAGTCAGGCTGGTAAGGCTCATAATCAGCTCAGGGCCTTTGCCCCCTCTACACGCAGCCCAGACAGCGAATGGGACTTCTCCCTGGAAACGCTGCCTAGTCGAACCCACCAAAACTTACCGGAGAATATGTAGAGTCCCCAACACTGCAGCCTTCTGCATTACCCAGAGTGTCAGAAGGGCTGTGCTCCCGGTGCAGAACCCGGGCACTCTCCTGATCTCTTGGCGCAGATCAAGGGCACCGAGAACAATGAGGAGCCTGACGACACTGTACTGGGATGCAAGCGAGACATTTCAAAGGCGAGGACCGCATATTTAGCATGCTTTTCCTGGATCTACAGCAATCACATTGCTGTCAAAAGGGACAGAAAATCAATGATATAAATAAATTCATTAGCTTTATCAAAAAGGCGGACAAGTTTGTTGGCTGGAATTGTTGTTGTTTGTTTGTTGCTTGTTGTTGTTGTTGTTGTTGTTGTTGCTGACCATCACTTACAAATGTTCCAGGATTCTTATGGGAATCGTAGTGTTGAAACTCTTATTCTGGACGATATTTTGTTGGAATCGGAGATCAGGAGCTGCGGATCTCAATGTAAGTATCGGCCTAATATTAATTAAACTTTGACGCAATATTGCTGAAATATAGACGAAGTGATTTAAATTTTATCTCACACAAATTAAACTTAGGGGTAAATTGTCATTTCAAAACGCCGCGATTCTCTATGGAAAGTTGCGTTGCTTAGATGTGCAGATCACGGGTTCGCATTACTGTTGGCCCCAGTTGTGTTCCTATGTGTGTCAACACTATACATGCGTATGTAAATACCAAAGATAAACGCCATGAAACATCAGCCCAGATGATAAAGCAATACATGAGAGGAACAGTGAAATATGAACTGTCCAAGCAACATTTCGGTATTTTCTCGAGTTTACGTATAAAAGAGCTTCAAAACAGTCAACAAAAACGCTCGTAAAATGTATTTGCCCAGGAAGTAATCGGCGAACATGGTACCTTCTTTGAGTAGATGGTTAGACTGGGTCCCTTACTCGTGATCAGGTGGTTGAGGGTTCCATTCTCCAAACCCGTGAAGGTCCGGGTTAGAATGAACCTTCAGTAACCCATGCTTGTCGTAAGAGGCGATTAACGGGATCGGGTGGTCAGGCTCGCTGGCTTGGTTGACACATGTCATCGGTTCTCATTTGCGCAGATCGATGCTCATGCTGTTGATCACTGGATTGTCTGGTCCAGACTCGATTATTTACAGACCGAAGCCATATAGCTGGAATATTGCTGAGTGCGGCGTAAAAATAAACTCACTCACTCACTCCATTCTCCAGTCCAGACCTTATGAAAAAGGTGGCTTCAATTTTTTAGACATTGGAAGTTTGAAACACCCAGTCCAAACCTCTTCTGCTTAAGAAGTACGCTTTTCTCTACCCCCCATGTATAGTGTAATAAATTACACTTTTGCCCAGAACAAATATCGTATAGCATGGGGACACGTGCTGGTAAAACTGTATGTTTTCAGACGATAAAGTACACTGTTTGCATTACGTCACACTGTATTGACGTCATACTCCATTCTAGTCTGCCAGCTCGTAATCCAACATACCCTTTGTAATGTCATTTGTCATTGCCTTGGACAGTCTCCTATAGTAACACTAACGGCGTAGCACCCAGTTCCACGTCAACAGAACAGCACGTCAGTAAGCCCTGAACAGTGAAAGAAAGTTGAGACGATGACCGCAGGGGCCCGTTTCACAACAGCCATCTTAGCGGTACGACTGTCGTACCTCCTATACTGTAACAGACTTACGACAGATGAAGCCCTACGGTCGTTCTGTGAAACGGGGCCGTGCATCACAATTCTGTCGCGGAATTCTTTTTCCAGAATGACCTATGTGCTAACTATGATTTGGTTTCTATGAATCGTTTGTTCTGTCAGCCAGCGGTTTTCTGACCGTCCTTGTGCGGGAATTCTGGGTTGACAATAGATATATAGTCAGATCCTACGATTGTTTTGAAAATGTGGTTGTCCTGCTCTTCAGTACTGCAAAAGTGGGCTGGAATTTTGATACTGTGTTCCTGTTTCCATAGCTATAACCAGACAATTCCCCAGTCTATGATAAAAGCGACGAGGATGGCATGACATTGTTTTGGTCCAATCCAGGCAGTGCAATATTTCTCGCTGGTGATCTTAATACCAGAACAAAGGACTTTTAGACTACATCCCTAAGGATATATTGACTTTATTGATAATGGTATAAAACTTGTGAATGATTATCCATCTGATGATTTCTGTATACCAAGGCAAAGTAAAGATAATGCTGTTTATAATCATTACTGTAGGAGACAATACAATACAGTGTGACGTTATACAATATGACGTCAATACAGTGTGACGTAATGTAACATGTGTAATTTATCATCTGATAAAGTACTTTAGGCGCCTTTGATCTTTTGGCAAAGCATCTTAGAAAGAAGTGTTTGAGAGGTATTCTAGAAGTTGTAAGTAATCGAAATGACAAATCTTTATGGATGATCAACTTCTTCAACATCGCTATTGCACAATAAAGAAGTTGATCAGACGTTCCATCTTATAAAGAATGATCATTGCGATGAAATGTTTTTTTCTTTGCATTTCATGATTCCAGGTTTCGATTCCCTATATGAAGTACAATATTTTATGCCCATGTCCGGTATTCCGCATGGGTAGAATGTTGATATATTAGCGTCAGGCTCACTCACTCACTCACTCTTACAGGACCGCGTGGTGATTGTAGAACACGAGTACCCGCCGGACTGGTCTGGACCACAAATGACACGTCAGTATGACCAGCGTCACCCATCCGCGTATGAACAGACCTGCAAGCCAGGCCCGGGGCTCAGCCAACCCATAACAGCACTGCCAATTTAGTCCACGAGGCGCCATCTTCAAACCATGACATACATCATATATAATCTGGAGGCATAGATTGGGATCATAGCCTTTTTATTTTACCACAAACTATACTGAATCATAGTCATGTGTCCACCCTAATTCTCGTAAAGAATTTGTATTAAACCAGTAGATATTCTAGCTGCTTCGTGTTGTATTTGTGCAACCTGATAGGAATCCAAATCTGCAGTTATCACTTACTTCAGATGCATATTCTAAGACAACCTCTGTGTCGGCCAGCAGTGCAGCGCTAGCACAGCATACAGAAAGAACCAGGCTGATTTTAAGATTATTATTAATGGCATTCATTATGAAAAACCCTTTGTTTTGGAGCTTATTCAAATACAATAATTGTAAATTGGATACTACATTTTTGCTTTTGTTTATCAGAGTTGTGGAAGTAATTCCGTCTTGTTACACAAAATTCTATCCTGCCTTTAGGTTTCTCTTCAGGCCTACAAGTTCCTGTGCCATCTGACTGGGATCTGCATCACGTCATCATGTGATACCATACCATCATGTAACTGGCCGCTTGTCACGCTGTAATTCCTTGGTTAAAGTTATTTATAGTTCAGTCTTATACTATTATTGACGATTTACTATCAGTATTTTTATGCTGGTTGCTGTTACGAAAACCCTGACTTTGGAGACCGAAATTCATGGAACGTTAACATTAATTTATATTTTTGGTCATTTAAAAACATAATTGGAGATAACTAGTCCCCTGGTTTACACACAAGAAAGAAATGTTGGTTCCTTTCAAATAGAAACATGCAGCGCCTTGCAATTCCTATATATACCTATATTGTATCTTACAATTGAATCGTCATGTCTCAGTAACTGTTACCACAGTGTCCAATAGTAGTAACACTGTCAAGCTGCTTTGCATATAACTTCCTGCATTTGTGTATTGTTTGTGTCATGTCGTCCATCAGCTTCTTTACCGTAATAGACATTTATAGCAAGCCTGTCCATATTTTAAAGGGCAGTCTTATAAAAGTAATATTCCGAGATCATGTAAATCACGTAATCCATATTTCGTCTTAATTGTTAAGATTTAGACTTAAGATCAACTTTTGCCTTAATCTGCAGTGCTCCTATGCCCCTGTACCGGAGATTTCTCCCTACCTCAAGACAAAGCTTTCTATGAAAAGAGGTTGAGATGTAGTTGAACGACATTAACTTTTGTGCTGTTTACTTCTATTTTGATACGTGTTTTGTTACAAGCTTTCAAGTAAAGACATATTTTTAAGTACCATTGACCTTGTGTTGTTGTATAGATAATTTTGATTGTTGATGGTCAAAGTCAAAAAATGTTTATTGTATTTCAGGCCCCTGGCCCATATTCATTGGAGTTGCATGCATTATACAATCATATACAGCTTGAATATGTTACAGTCAGATTGTGAAATTTCAGTCATTTCGTCCCTACTGCTCGTTCTCTTTCTTCCTGGGTTAACCTTGGCATTTTCTCTGTGTGATATTGCAGTGTTGGACAGGCCATTTATACTGATTTTTCGCACGATCTTTCCCATGTATCCGACTAAGACAATGTGTTTCGTGGTTCTGAGAGTCGGGGCCACAAAATGCATCTTGGCGATTTGTTTCGTGCATCACGAACATTGGCAATCGTTATCAAGCACATTTACATCAAATTTGATGGAAACGTCCAAACCTATTTATATAGCCAATAGCGAAATGGCTGATCGTCTTAGTCATTTCACGAAATGACTGATTTTTTTTGTCATTTCACGAAATGACTGATTTCACAATCTTACTATAACAAATACACAGATAACTGTAACAGAGTATAACGTTTAGACATTGCATTGCATTGTGATAGTTTTAGCTGATACAGTTGTCATTAGTAGACAGGAATTGTTTAATGCTACAGTGGGTGACTTGGAGAGGTTACATTCAGGAATATATTGTTTACGTAAAATGTAAGATGGACAGACAAATAAGAAATGAATTTCGTTTTCAATAGATAATTTATACAATGGGCAAATTCTTTTATATCTGTCGATGGACACACGTCTTCCTTCATTAATCATAACGTTTGATAGGCCTAATCTAAATCGTATTTATGAGTTTCTTAACTCTTTGGATGTTAAGTGTGATGGGTACTCTTCAGGTTGGAGTAAGGTTTAAACATTCTATAGGAATCAATCATATCGTGAGCTATTATCTAACACTGAATGCCAATCTTGATTAAATATATTGATAGCTGTTTCTCGGAATTAATACACACAAAAATCCACATTGCCAACCACACAAAACAATAACCATGGGAAAATAGATTTCTTACATGAGATGTCCATGTTACTTTACCCAAATCATCCAGATGAACAATCAGATTGAAAGTCTTTTTTTTTGTAGTCCATTTTTATACATACATGTAAATTTTCAACATTTATGCATCTAATATTAGAATTGATATACAAGGGATATCTCCCTTGTATTCGCCATGTTGGTGTTGACTGTCCCACACCAAAAACTTTTACACGCCATTAGATGTACTTATTCGATACTTTCAAAACGCTGGAATTCCCATATCTCGGATCCGTAGAGTAAGATAGGCATTTGTGAATCAAATAGCTTAAAATATTTTGGGCGTGAACACGCTTAAGTTATGCATATAGTTGACAATATAAAATTATTAATGCTTTGTTTGCTCCTAAGGCAAGTTAAGCAACCGATTTTGTTTCAAATTAATGGTTGTATTAAAAATAAAACCAAGATATGTGTATTGATTTCTTACAGTTACAGGTTGATTATTGAAACTCCATCTTCCTCTTGCCGCAACTGGGCCACCTTTTCTGAAAATGACTATATGTGTTTAATCTTGGTTCCATGTCTTTGTGTAACGTTCTAAAATACTGAATTGTGTCTGAAGCCCAACAACTGATTCTGACAAAAGAATAACATCATAGGCAAATGAAAGTATTAACATTTCTATTAGATCTGAAAACATCTGGACACCATATTTTCCGTTTGCCATAATTTCGTAATATAATTCATTGATAAGAAGGAAAAGAGGATGGGGATGAGAATGCAACCTTGTCTCAGGCCACAGGCAAACTGTAGCGCAAATAGGGTTGCGCAACAAAGAGAAAATGACCAGTCTTCCTATATGCGAGCGAAGTGAGCATAGGTTGGCAACGTTCTTCCCTCGCTTCCGTTTGAAAAGAAAATTTTAATATCAAAATATAATATCGCCACCATCAAAGGAAGACACCCATTTCTTGTGCTCATAAATAATAATTACTCACGTAAAATATATTCAACACTCTAAGCGCCACTCGTGGTATGTCAAATCAAGTCAAGTCAAGTCAAGTCCAAACTGATTCACCGGACTAAGACCGAGACAACACAAATTCCAACCATCTATGGGGATGAAGCATGATTTGCAGTGAAATGATTTGTCATATATCAAAAGAATTAACATGAGAGTACAAATTCCATAACAATGAAATATACTCTATCCAAAACGAAACGCATAAGTGATCTTGATATATACTGAAAGGCAAAAGAAACATCGTAATATTGGAAACATTTAATACACCGGAAGTCAAGTTTGACTAGCCATAGCTGCTGTGTTTAGAAAACACGATTGCCATTCAAACCGGCAATTTATGCCTGAATGCATGCATGATGCACGTGCGTATATATTTCAATGATGTGTTTGTGCGAACTCTTCCCTTTACACAAACAAAAACATTTCAAATCTCAATCTCAAACAATACCTTTTTGGGGCAATACAGGCTATACGACCACGATTCCTCAAACTTGACTTCCGGTGTATTTTTTTAAAAAAGGTTCAAATACTCCATTGATAATTAAATGTCCTTTCCAAAATTACGACGTTTCTTTTGCCTTTCGGTATATAAAATTTCAAATATTTTTCAAAATTAGTGTTTGTTATAATGTCGCCATTATAATGCTGGTTTGTTTACATGGAACAAAATGCACAGCGCAAAAACGTATTTTAGGAAACTTTAATGCAGATCGATGCACATGCTGTTGATCACTGGATTGTCTGGTCCAGACTCGATTATTTACAGACCGCCGCCATAGAGCTGGAATATTGCTGAGTGCGGCGTAAAACTCAACTCACTCACTCACTCATTCACTCACTGCAAGTGCAGTGATTGGTTTGAGGAGAGTGTCAGTGAAAACCATTCGTAGTTGTTTACGATAAGCTGAACTTCGGGTCAGAAGACTTTATTTTGGCCCTGTTCTGCGACGACTACGTCGATGGGCCCAGTGGTGCAGTAACTACAAAACTGGAGACATGTATGGTTCAGTGACGAATCACACTTTCGGCTTCAGTGCCGTGACGGAAGAGCATGTGTCTATCAACGTCGAAATGAATTAATTGTGTCGCCCAGATTGATCGATATGGTAGTCCGAGAGTCATGATGTGGGGAGCCATATCCTACACGCAGAAATCTACCTTTGTGTGCCTTCAGGGCAATTAAACTGCTGTTCGGTACAGAGACGAAATCTTATGGATCTTATGGTTCCGATAGTTCCGATCACTAATTGCCAGATAATGTCAGGCCTCACACAGCACATGCCATTATTCAGTATCTTCAGAATGAGATCATTACTATGCTTCCTTGGCCTTCCAAATTACACGCCCTCAATCCTATCGAGCATTTGTGGGATGACCTCGGTCGACGCGTACGTGAAATTCAACTGGCGTCCCAGATGTTAGATGAACTGTCTCAGGCACTGCAAGAGGATTGGGCCAGAATTCCACAAGGTCGAATTCAAAGACTTATTCAGTTTATGCCGTCGGTGCCGGATCTTGAGCTCCCTCAGTCGGTTCCGCACAGTCCTGGAACTGGACACAAGCCAGGAATGGTCCGAGCAGTTTTCAGGGCTCGCGGTAACCACAACAGATACTAAAGACAACGCCAAACTCGGAACGCACGCCTTCTCTTATTGAACATTTTATAAGCTATACATGCTATTTGATCATTTATATTGTGAAATTTGGGTACAACAGAACCAGAATAATATGTGCTGTCAATTTAATGTCCATAGATAAAATTCTGGAAAATACACATATGCGGTTTTTTCAGGGAGAGTATATATACTACTGGAATAAAGTAACTGTGCATTATTGGATGATGTGCCAATTTTAAGGCGAAAAGATAATAACATGATTTGTGGAGTTTAACTGTTTACGGGATAATATCAAAATCTGTATAATTTGACACTAGGCATCGTGACACGCCCTTGAAGAGATGTAGTGTCAAAAGTCAGTTCACAAATACAGCATGTGTCCACCATTGGCGTTGATGCAGGCTTGACAACGACGACGCATAGACGACACTAAGCGATTGAAGAAAGCTTGGGGAATGTTGTTCCATGTCTGAACCAACGCTTGTCCCAATTCAGCTTACGTCAATGGCTGATTCTGGGCTTGACGTAAACGTCGCTCCATTTCATCCCAAGCGTGCTCGATAAGGGACAGGTCCCAAGAAACAGCTGGCCAGAGGAGTACCGGAATGTTCTGCTGTCTCAGGAAATTTGTCACAACACAAGCGACATGCGGATGGGCATTGTCTTGCGTGAATCATCCTCCCATATCAAGCGTGAGGTTGTTTTTGTCCTTAAATGAACGGCTGCACACGAGCCCCTATGATCTCATTCCTGTATCGCAGATCTGCCAGCTTGCCATTGACAATGACAAGTTGTGTACGACCATGGGATGGGATGGCTGCACATACCATAACGCTACTGCACCAAACTGTCGACGTTGAACAACACCGCATCAGCGTACCGTTCACCTCGCCGCCTGTACACCATTGCCCTGCCATCTGAGCTGTCCAGATGAAATCTTGACTCGTCAGTGATCAAAACACCATCCCAATCTTGTCTACTTACCGTAGATGCTGTCTGCACCAAGTAAGACGTGCCTGTCGGTGACGTTGGAGCAAAAATGGACGTATTGCAGGCCGTCGTGGCCGGATGATGTGCTCCCTCAGTCGGTTCCGTACAGTCCCAGAACTGATTGGACGTAAGCCAGGAATGGTCCGAGCAGTCAAACTGGCAGTCTGGAATCGATTCCTCAGATGGGTGAGTAGAGTGTGGTTGTTTTGCTGACGTGACGTCTCGCGTGGACGACCGGTCGGACGCAAATCTCTCCTGTTCCCATTATGTCTCCTTCATCATCCCATAGCAACTTGCTAAATCATCATCCTACATCACCCTCCCATAGCAACCTCCTACATCACCCTCCCA